TATAAACCCTAACTTTGAACAACAATTGATAAGTCTTCAAAAACCATTCCAAAACAATTCTTATGTTTCTAGAAAGAACTTTAAGCTAGCTCTCAAATCCTAACCTCCGATCTTCAAATGAATCCCTAACTTGCCCTCGGTGGTCATTTTAGTGACCAGATGTCTGATTTTGACCCTATCTCACAAATGGTCGACCCCCAGGTATCAATCTAACTTATCTTAAGGATTTTTTAGCCCAATTCTATCCTTAACTTAACCCTAGTATCAACCATACCAACCATTTATCTCTTCTACCCTAATTTTATTAATTTATGGTTTTTCTAAGGTAGTAGAAGAGTCTCTATAACCTAGAAGATAAAATTACTAATTAACCTTCAATCTACTAACTTTTAAGATAAGAAAATAACCTAAGAGGCTTTTCTAAAAGCCATGTTTAGATACCTCAAATTATAATTGAATTAAGATAGTTAGATGTTAATTAGAAATTTAATTTTGATTATAATTTCACTATTTAGTCGTATTACATCACGACATCGTGTAGCTAAAATCATATGCAATACCTAGTAAAGATCTTATTCTCTCTTTAGATCATTCACCTTATTTTATAATAGATATATATTTAAGACCTAAAAATCATGAAGTCTTTGCATTATTAGATTTAAGAGCCTTACCTTCTTTTATAAACAAAGATTTTGTCAAAAAATAAGAAATAACTTTAGTCAAGAAAACTAAATTTCTACATATAAAAGTCATAGATAGTTATTTGTTGTCTTCTAAAGATGTCACCTATGAGATTGTTCTTTTAGATATATCAATTAAAGATCATATTAGAATAATAATATTTAATGTGATAAGATCTCCTTCTAATTTGGTTATTTTAGAATTATTGTGCTTAAAAAAAATATTATCTTTATTATCAAATAGATTAGATTTCTTGTAAATTTAATTTTTTTTATAATTTAATCTAAAATTCTAATAATTAAGTAGAAATACATAAGTCTTGTACATCCAAATCCTTATTAATAGATACAAGAACTTTCTTACATGTAGCAAAAGAAGATCATCTTTTATTATATATGCTATGTCTATTTTTGATGGTAGAAAGACCTCAAGTGATATTCCTAGCTAGTATCAAGATTTTTAAGACATTTATGGAAAAAAAATATAGATATTCTTCTAAAACATCAATCCTATGATTTTTCAATTAATTTATAAGAAGAAGCTCAATCGCCATTTAGACCAATCTATAGCTTATTGCAGAATAAGTTGCATACATTAAAAGAATACATTGATAAGAATTTGGCTAAAAACTTTATATATTTTGATAGGATTTAATTTTCATTTACTTAGAATTTCTTAAAGAATTGATAGGATTTATTATGTAGTTACTTAAAAAATAAATGGAATTTATTTAAGATTGTTTAGCATTTATTTAGAATTTTTTTATAATTTCTTTATGCTAACTAGGATTTTATTTAGATTTTATATAGAGTGAACTTAATATTCTTATAGAATTTGTTAAGTTGAATTTAGGATTTCTTAGAATTTATTCAAAATTTTTTTTGTACTACTTGGATTTTTGATTTAAAATTAATAGAATTTAAAATTAATTAAATTATGGATTTTTAAGAGAATTAAGATTGTTAAGACATTTGTTTTAAAATATGTCATTCAATTTTCCTAATTATAAGAAGAATTGTAAGATTTAAATACATCTCTTCTACAACCAAATAATTCACACATTCTCAAGCTAGAATTTACATAACATGATAATATTAATTGTCTTTTCATCCTAAAATATAATTTTTCTTGGTTTTAATCTTATTTATAATAATTAAAGATATGAATATAATAAAATTTTAAAAAATAAAGTATATTCATATACAACTAAGAAAAAAATCCAAGATGATGTATATTTGTAAGAAAGGAAGATATTAGATTTATTATTATTTGATATAGAATAATAAATTTTCTTAAATTAAAACCGATATACATAAAAGACATTGATAAGACCAAAGATTAAATTAAGCTTATTTTATTATATATATTTTTATATATATTGGTTGATATAAATATCATATAGAAGATTTCTAAATACTAAAAGGCTTACAAGCCAAGTTTTCAAGTTTTGAGATGCTTCCATTTTTACTTTTTAGATAAATATTTATATATATATATATATATATATATATATATATATATATATATATATATATATATATATATATATATATATATATATATATATATATATATATATATATATATATATATATATATATATTAAAAGAAAAACTTATAGCTAAACATTATATTTAAGCACATCCAAAGAAATATTATTAAAAAACATAAAAATAAAACTTTTTTAAAAATTATAAGAATTAGTCTTTAATTTTAATTTGGTAGCTTTAGATCTTTGATAAATATTTCTCATCAATTCATTTAACATATAATGTATTCATATAAAACTTGATAATAAAATATTTAAAATATTCAAAAGAATTTCATCAACTTATCTATAATTTAGAAAGCATCTTAACATATTATTTCTAAAAGACCAAAACTAACATGAATAATTCAATTTTTTTATTTTAAATAATAATAATGATGTTATTATAATATTAATAAAATTAAATATAAAGAAATTTTGGCTAATTTATTGAGCCAAATTATATAACAATATTTTTTAATATGTAAATTATAAGCTATTTTTGTGGTATTTATAAAATAATATTAGACAAAATTTCATGAAATTTATTAGATTTTTTTTATAAAAAATAAACTACATCTATTTACTGACTACAGATGCAATTTAAATAATATATCATGAGATTTTTAAAAGTTATCTATCAATTGCATTAAATTAGGCATCTTTTAACTTGAATTAAAAATTGGTTATTTTTTTGGATAATTGGCCTTTTTCTCTAATACCATTCATGAAACTAATTATCAACATACAAAATAAACTAAAATACAAAATTTTAAGATCTATACTATTATTTATTTATTTATTTATCATTATATTTTTTAAAAATCTAATATACCTAATTCATCTATTTTTTGTAATTTTATTAATCCAAATAATTATAATTATATATATATATTCTTTTTTCTAAAATAATATGGTAGTTATAATAAAAATATTAATAAAAATAAAATAAATAATAATAAAGATAATACATGTAATTTTATTTATTTATAATTAATACTTTAAACACCTTTATTTTATCTAATTAATAATCTTCTCTTCAACATGAATAATTGTTGTAGATGCATTCTATTATTTATTGTTAAGAAATATAATAGATATTTTTTAATATCATAATAAAAATCATAATTTTTGTTTCTATATATGTATTCATTTTTTCTATCTTGTGAAGCTAATATACCAAATATTAATAGGCTAGACTTACATCTACAAGACAATATAAGTCTTGTAGATATACAATCACCAATATGTTAAAGTGATATTTTATTTCACAAGTTTTTTATCTAAAAAATTGTGTCTAAATGTTTTGGCCATTCTATTTCTCCCTTATACTTCTATTGAATTTTCACATCTATGTGTATTATTTTTATTGCTCAAATATCAACTCAATCATGTTTTTATAACATAATTAATTTACCACAAAATTAATTACTCAAAGTCCATAGGATAATATTCCAACTCTCAATAAAATTTCCAATTCAATCTCTATTAATTTCCTTGGAACAACATAAAGCCATTATTGTCGCACTTTGTAAGGCTAAAAGAACTGATCTTCAAGTCCCAAATCTAAGTACATTCTTTAATCATTTAAAAGTAGTCCAAAATTGCCTTATTTATCTTTTAATCATAATAGTATAAATTATAGAGCAATATATATTTTTTGCATTAAAGAATCAATTTACTTTAAATTAAAAAGTCAATCCTCCTCACATTTTGGCACTTATATCGTGACAAACTTCCAACTGAAAGAGAACCATCTTCAACGAAGACCTACAACAAACATCTTTTTACTTTATTATTCTTATACTTATACTTTATTTACTATTTTGTGATTTGTTTCTAATTTCCATACCAATGAGAATAATTTTACTTCCGACCCGTTATGGAATATGCCACGTAGGATGGTCCGACGAAGGAACGTCAACCACGGCGTGATGGGAAGGGGAAGCGTGGGCACAACCACAGCGGAAAAGTATTTTACTTTATTTTACTTTATTTATCTTTTTACTTTATTTACCTTTTACCTGTAAAGAATTCGACGGTCAGTAGGTTGAAATATTTAAGCTAGGGCAGATAAGAAATGGCGGGAGCAGTGCTGTGATGGCACGATGGACGAGTCCACCCCAGTCCAGCCTGGACTCCCCCAGGAAGCTGCAACGCAAGTCTGATGCAGGCTTCGCGGCAGGCTACTCCTCCGTGCATATCGTCCCAAAGCAGCCTCGCTGCTTTTGCTTTTTGCTGTGATTTTGGAATCCCTGTTGTTGCTGCGAAAGGACTTTGAATTTGGAGTTCCCTGTCGGCCTCTCGAGAGCGCCACCACCTCCATTGATTCGGCAACCAAGGTGCTTCCTCTGTTGACGATCGGTGAGGATAACTCGTTTCGAAGAAAATGCCGCACAGTGGGTATTGCGGAGAGTTAACCTTGCCTACTCTTTTGCTCTTGTAATGCTGACTGGTTCCTCCTTCGATGCAACAGTGAAATAGACCGGCCTGCTCACAAAAATTCGTTTGTCAAGCTCAAAATTCATCGAAGCCAAACTTCCGCGCAGTTACAAGTGAAAAAGAGTAGGCAAGGTCAAGTCTCCGAGTTGGGGATTCGTGCCTTTGATGTGACAACATTGTCAAAAGCTCTGTTGACGATTCGTGCGAGTGGTTTGCAACTCTGTTCTCGAGCAAGCCGGTTCGTGTGTTTCGATTTCGTGTTAAAGACAAACTCTGCAGCAACTTCTGAGAATGCGTGCTCTCGGTGTGTGAGCTATGTGATCCCTGTACTGAATTTTGCTGTTGGAGAACAATAGGGAGAAAAAGACAGGAGGTGGTGGAGCTTCCACTGGCGGGGCAGTTTTTACGGGATTTTTTTATTGATAAATCGTCAATTTGCCTCTGGCGGATTCTATATTAAGATTTTTGTTGGATTTAGTGTCTGAACTAATTCCGCGAGGTTTCGAATTGAAGTCTCCACAGTTCTGTGTGCTGCTTCTAGATCCCTTCCTCTTCGACGCAGGAGTCTGCCGCAGGCTCCGTAGCACGCGGTTGTCTTCATTTGGACTCTGTCCAGACAGAAAAAGAGAGTGATGGAAAAGCAGACATCGTCCCGGTACAATGCTCGTGGACAGTGAGATTGCATCTGTTGCGAGCATCATCCTAGTTTCTTCCTCGAAATGAAACCTCTCCTCACGGCATTTTGGATGGCGTGCAGTTCGAGTGTAAACGGTTCCCAGCCTGTTTGTGTCTGCGTGTAGAAGGCTATAATAGAATCGTCGTCATTAGAAGACTGGGACTTAACGTCATGGCAAGGATGAGGCGTGAGATTTGTCATTGTTAATCTGAGAGAAGACTTTCTGCGGTACAGGAAGAGTCAACGCTAGCGCTGTGGTAAGGATTTCGAGTTCTTGGTGTTGGATTGAGGTATGACGTGGTTGCAGTTGTGCACACTGCGGGATTTGACAGTATGAAGTATATCTTTCCTGCGTGGTTTTTGAATACGGAGGGGCGTTGTCACGTCCTGATCTCTGAAGTGTGAGTCGTCTTGAGGATGCAGATTATGTGACTTGTGGACCCGAATCTACTGCCGCCGCATGTTTTTGAAGTGGCGGTGCTTTCCGCTCTGCTTTTGGTCTTCTTTAATTTTCATGTTGGTGACGTTTACCTATCGCAGTGATACAGTCTTCTGCCTTCCGAGTTGAGGATTCGTCTGATGCAAGCGTAGAGGAAGCGAAAGGAAATGGCAGAGGAGGAGTCGTCCTTGTCGAGGAAGCCGAAAGCGCCGCATACGAAATCGGGATGGACGAATTTTTCTCAGCAGTGCAGGGCGCTTTTTTACAAAAATTTTCTTCTTTCGCGACGCAATTTACGTGCTACAGGTAATTTTTTTTCTTGGTCTGAAACAATCCCAGTGTTTGGGAGTCTGGTTCTGCAAACGGTCCAGTTGAGCAGCATTGAATTACAGCTTGCCCTAAAAATCATACGATAATCTCTCGATTTAACATAATTTGGCATCGCAACCTGTGAATGAATTCAATGGTTGTTGATGGAGACACTCCCGCTTGCGGTACGCTGCGTGCTATTCCTATTCATATATTCCCACCTGAATACAAAGCAAGAAACTGTTTCAGATTAGCACACGGGGCTTAAGGGGATAAAACATTTTGTCTTTGAAGATGTAATTCACATCTTCGACGAATAATTTACAAAGAGCGCCTCTCATCGTCACGACATCAAGGGGATTCAGATATGGAATCACTGTCATTATAAATTCATGTGACAGTGCCATTAATCAATACCGACTGATATGGAATTAAGGGATCATCACCTTGATTTGGACCTAAAATCTCTTGGTCTTCCTCGTTCTCTTTTCCTTCAAATTTACTTTATTTCATTTATCGTTTTTGACGTAATGTTGTAGGGTTTCTTTACCAGGTTGCTTGAAGCTGAAATGGATTCATCTCCATATGGTCATGCGGTTACAAGCCACTGGCTAGAAGTCCTGAGTGATGTTTATGAGCTATGCCTTCAGTCTGAGTGTGCTTTGAAGTGTTTTACCTAGGGTTAGTGGGTTACCAATTTATGATTTTCAATTGTGGAGCTTCAAACGTATAGGACTTAGTGTGAAAAGCCAAGTTCATAAGACCTCACACTTCATGGCAGTCGTTTTGCTGACCCTTTGTTTGAAACCTCTTGTCGCAGTGCTTCAGCTCGGATCATCCCTCTTTTTCATCTTCCTTATCTTCTGTGTGGACCTATCCAGTAAAGCACTACAAAGAAGTACGACGAATTACAAGAATCTTTTCAATCCTGTTTCAACAGTAGTTCCTGGGATTCCCGCTTGTGAGGATGGTTTTTTTATCAAGAAGGGCTGTTATGATTTTATCTGGATTGGATCGTCAACCCCCCGTCTTGAACTGCTGGTTACTAATATTCGGAAGAACAATCCTAATCGCCCAATCCCAGAGAATAAGGTAAGAGTGGAGGCTATAGGATCTCAGCCACTGGGTATACGGTTTATCTTGTTAGAGTTAGATCCCTTCGTTCTTTTTTATCGATGGAGCTTAACCTGCTACAAAATGAAGTCAAACTCAACCCTTTTGAAGTTGAACATATGACGGGTGATCTCAGGTGAGGCGTTTTGCCACAACAGCGGATTCGGATGCATGGTTGCTGGCAAATCCAATGCAATGCACAGGATCTTTATACTTCGAAGAGAGGGGGAGTACTATAGCTTATGGGATTCAGACGAATTCTACTGCCACAGGAGATCATGGACGATTTGAAGACCCCAACTTCACTTATCAAATACCATTGCAAGTAGCTGCTGAACGCGAAATAGCACGACTTGTGTCAGGAGGTACTTGAAAAATGGTCTTATGTGATGTGAAATGCTGTTTTAAGTATAACCGAGCCACTCTTAAGTTACGTTCTTACATTCTGAGATTTTTTGCTTCTTTCAGTTGCACGGTAATTTCCTTTAGAGGATACATTTCCGTGTTTTCCATAGGAACCAACAGAAGTTGTTGGAAGGTTGAGAAGTGAATCATTTGGACCGAAAAGCTTGTGTGACACTCATGAAGAGCTGGCTGTTTGGAATGTTGTGAATGGACTTCAGACCCAAATCTTGAGTGGAAGGTCGCATTCTCCCAATTCGCTCATCCAGCAATTAACGCAGTTTCTGTGGTGGGAAGAGTCGGTCCCGCTTTTCTGCTGGCAGCAACCATGTTTGGTTTTGTTATTCAACTGAGCAATCTGGTGACTGAAAAAGAGCTCCGGTTGAGACAGGTATGTTGCTACGGCTCATCAACATTCACTTTCTTCAGTTTTGAAGAGCATGCCAATACGGATACAACCATCTTTGCTGGTCAGCGGACTAGTAATTCATTGCCTAATCTTTCATATGTTTATTCCAACTCTCAATTTGAAGAAGACTAACAATAGTGAAAATTGTGATGCATCAGATGATGAATACCATGGGACTCATTGATTCTGCGTATTGGATTACGTGGCTCTTGTGGGAGGTAGTGTTGGTGCTGGTGTCTTCCCTCCTCCTTGTCCTCTTCGGCATGATGTTTCAGTTCGACTTTTTCATCAACAACAATTTCGGCATTCTCTTCTTCTTGTTCTTTTTGTTCCAATTGAACATGGTAAATATTTTTCGAAGTGAACTTTCAAGTTTGTTTTTCAAGTCTCTTAAGCAATGATCTTTAATTCTTGCTTTGTTAGTTATGCTGAATTGGATTACATTTGAATATGGATATAAGAGCCTTGCATGCATGTCTTAAATCTGGCTTTATTGTGACATTTGGATTTTTGATTGCAGATTGGTCTGGCATTCATGGTATCCACCTTTGTCAGCAAGTCCACCTCGGCTACAAACGTTGGTTTCTTTGTCTTCATCATCGGTTTCCTCACACAGGTTTATTCACAGAACTCAAGCTTTTGTTTTCTAACCTCCTGGGTCTAATTGAATTTTCATCAAGCAATTTTCTGTGAAGTTTTCAAATTATATGAGGTCATACGAAGTTGGTACTGAGGCTCTCGTGTCTACTTTCGAAAGGAGAAGTTTACGTTATGTGTTTTATTTTGCAGCTTGTGACCATTGTTGGCTTTCCTTACGATAAAAAGTTCTCGAAGACACTCCGGGGCCTTTGGTCTTTGTTTCCACCGAATGTTTTCGCGGCCGCCCTAAATTATCTGGGACAGGCCACTTCTACTGCACAAGACCCAGGAATTCAATGGAAAGATCGTGCTAAATGTTCATATCGAAGTGAAGACTGTGTCTTGACGATGGTCATTTTCTTTGCGCATCCTTTTTTTTTTCTTCCGTATTATTGCAAGTTCTGTACCTGCTGTTTACCTTTCACATATTTGGCACTTAACTCCAATTCTTTTCTTCTTGGCTCTCATTTCAATGCGTACAAATTAGCTATGAGCTGATTCTGTTATTTGGCAAGCAGAACGATATTTATGGTTGGTTGATAGCTACCTTCTTTATCTGGTTCGTGCTGGCAATCTACTTCGACAACGTGTTTCCAGATGTTAACGGGGTGCGTAAGCCCTGCTTCTATTTTCTATCCCCATCCTATTGGCTTGGAGAGGGGGTGAAACTCTTCGAAGGTACAAATTAGCCCGTATCTTTTTTTAGTAATTTTTTGAACAGCATGTAACGTCAACTATTACTTTTTTACTTATTGTCTTGACCATTTACATACGATTTTTTTGTGGGTCTCCTTGATATTTCCAGCGAGTTGTGACGTGACATCTTGTTTTACAAAATCCTTTATGGTTTTGTTACAGAAAGTATTGGTGTAGAATATTCTAAAATATTTGTTTGTACCATAGGTGGCCGTTGCTGCAACTGCTCTGGGTCTGTTCCACCTCTTGATTCTCAAGAATATGATGATCCCGACGTAGCAACCGAAGCAAATATTGTGAAGGAGCAGAAGGAAAATGGTTACAAGGTAGTTTGGAGCTTCCTTCTTTCTTTTGGCGCACATCTTGTAATCATTTCGGATTCGGATACTAGAAAACCAACTATTTTAAGCTTCCATGACGTTTACGTCGTGGAGATATCTAGATGACTCAAGTACTTACGATCTTCTGTTTGCAGGACCCAAATGTCGCAGTGCATGTGCAAGGGCTGGTGAAGACCTATCCTGGTTCCCACAAATGTGTTGGATGTCGGCTAAAGGCTACAAAGCCTTATCATGCTGTCAAGGTTTGGCTCTCTTCTCTACTTAAGAGAATGTGCTTCTTCTAAGAAGTGGATTGTGTCCGTGTCAGTTCTGATACATGCACTATCCTGCAATTTAGGTAGTCACCTTGTCAATATCTGCAATCCATAAATTAGTAATATCTTCAATAATGTTCTAAGTGCTTGCAATTATCTCATTTTTCTTGGTTTGCTTGTTTCATTTTTCAGGGGTCTTGGTTTAATATTGAGAAAGATAAGCTATTTTGCTTGTTGGGACCAAATGGTGCAGGTAAATATAGGCACATCCCTTTTCTTTACGAAACCCTTCTCCCTTCCCCCTTCCGATTTTTCATGTCCTCTATCCCCTCATCCGCTCAACTTTGAAGTTTCTCATGTTATGGTCATGTACTCATACGCTTGTGCAGGCAAAACAACAACTATCAATTGTCTCACTGGTATCATTCCAACATCAGCTGGTGATGGTAAGATCCAAACTATTCCAATTGCACTCTTCGTTTAGGATCTCTCCGCGAATATTTTTGAGTATCTCGTTAGTAGCAAGCCTCCTTAAGTCGCGATGTTCTGTGGTACAGATTGTGTGGTGATTAAATATTAGACTGTGAGTATGAATGCATCATTTGGTTTTTAGAGTTCCTTGTCTGCTGATGAGTGTCATTATTATGATCCATGCATTGTAATTTATCTATTATTTATCTGTGACAGCATTGGTGTATGGAGATTCGATAAGAAGTACTTCAGGTGTAGCAAGCATACGCAAGAACATGGGTGTTTGCCCTCAGGTGCATAATCCTCTTGAGATTCATTTTTTGAATGTACACAGTAATTGTTCTTTTCCTACTTCTCTTGTAGCCTTAGACTTGCTTTATCGCATAAGAGAGATTCTTAGTTTGGGCAGATTTTATTCTTACACTGTTTTCTTCGACAGTTTGATGTGTTGTGGGAAGCATTGACCGCGCGCGAACATCTTTACTTGTTTGGATCCATCAAAGGCTTATCATCGTCAGATATTAAAGACGTAAGTTAAAGCATGCCAACACTTAACGTTCTCTTGTACCTTTCCTAATAATAAATAGATTGATAGTAGTGGGACTTGATAATCGTAGAATTGAAATGGCTGCAATGCTGAAGGTTATCATTGTTGTTCAAATTAACCATCAAGTTCTATCTCGGAGAATGTTAGTCATTAATTAGCATTTCACATGGTTTGTGACAACAGGGAACAAGTCAACTTTTAGCGCAGGTGAAACTGGCAGAAGCTGCGAACGTGAGGGCAGGAAGCTACAGTGGTGGTATGAAGAGACGATTGAGTGTTGCCATCGCTCTTATAGGCGATCCAAAGATAGTTTACCTTGATGAGCCAGTAAGTACTCTTGTTTTTTATAATTTCGATTTCAAGGAGGTGGTGGCAATTTCTTGTCTTTGTTGTACTTTTATGTTTATTACATTATGTGTTCATATGTTGAATCTGGTATTTTCAGACAACTGGTATGGATCCAGTCACTAGGAGGCATGTGTGGGATATTATTGAAGCTTCGAAAAAGGGACGTGCGATAGTGTTGACTACACATTCCATGGAAGAAGCTGATATTTTAGGTGATCGTGTCGCAATTATGGCTCGGGGCAAGCTTCGTTGTATCGGCACTCCGATCCATTTGAAGACTAAATTTGGCGCTGGTTACCTTGTAAACGTGAGCGTGAGAAGGGAAGATGGCTTGCAGCAATCTGGGGAAGCCGCTCGGGAGGAAGTTCGAAGGGCAGGAGTGAAGAGATTTTTTGAAGAGGTACCTTCATTTCCATGAGATGCTTCTAAAAGAATTAGCTCAGTTTTATAAATTCGTAGAACTATTTGGTCAATGATGTATCACTATACCTGCACTTATGCAGTAAGTAAACTGACATTGACGGGAATTGGTACATTACCAATTTGTGTTTGACAACTAGTACCTTTGAGCTGAATTTGTATTTAATTTCTAGTATGTTCGAACTCTGTGCAGCAACTTCAAATTGTTCCAACTGATGAGAACAAAGCATACATTACATTCACAATTCCACGGGAGAAAGAAGCACAATTGCCGGTACGTCTTTCTTCCTGCCTGCTTTAGTTCTTAACTATTGTTAACTTTGGGCCGCTTGCAACCTTCAAAACGTCACATGCAGTTCGAGTTTTTGAGACTGACGTCGTTATGGAAACCAGCTTTCTTGCATCTTTATCAATTTTTGTCTTTCTATAGTTTCAACAGCTGCTGATGAGGTATCCCATGATACTTATGATTTGATATTGTGAAGCTTTTTCAAGTGCTAATAAGGTTCCTGAACTGATTATCAGGGCTTTTTTAAGCTGTTGGAAGATGGAAAGGCGCAGCTTGGAATATCTGATCTTCAATTGGGCCTCACAACTTTGGAGGAAGTTTTTCTGACTATATCCAGACAGGCTGATTTGGAAAATGCTGCTGCAGAGGGCCGGTTTGAAACTTTGACTGTGAATGGGGTAACTTTGCAGGTTAGTGCCTTGTCAAACCCTCGTTAATTTCATCACTCTGCAGGCCTTCCTTCGACGTTAGTGCAATATTGTCTTAACTTATTTTTTTAATTTCTTTCCTTGCGTATTTGCCCAGGTGCCTGTTGGAGCCCAGCAAGTAAGAATACCCAATTCGGTTTCAGACGCTGCTCCAAATGGATTAATGGTTGAAGTCTTCTGGCAACAAGATGATGTTGGGGCCTTGAAAATAGCAAGACATAGTGAGCCCAAACTTGCAGTCGAAGTGTTGGATTCGGACCCCGGTCAATCTTGGCGGTCGACGTCGTTGCACAACCAGAGAAGTCTTCGAGAGCAATGAAACTCTGTCTGAGGTAAGTCATGTGTACAAGTCGCTTGAATCGTTATTGCACTACACTGGGATGGGTTATGGTTTGTTGTCTGATCTATCAATCAAGTCAACCAACTTTATTTCTCCTTCTTGAAGTGGGTATCGATGATCTGAAGTTATGACTCTTAACTTATTGCAGTGTGCACATATCCTGATGATGGAATTGGGCCTGGATAATTAAGTCGCCTGCACGAACTTCACCCTGCGACCAGTACATGTCGCAGTCTCTCTGGGAACCTTTTCCAAAATTGTTGTAGATTTGAATATGAGCATATGTTTTAAAATAAGAAAATTGAGTCTTCAGAAGGTTAGTGTTTTCTTAGAAGCGCCAAGTAGTTGTGTTGATACTAGAGTTGCAGTATTTACCGTTAATTCTGGTAGTTCGTAAGATTTGAGCTCAAGATAACTGTAACGCATCTTTTATGTGTTTGTTGATACAAAGTGTTTCTGTCGAACACTTGGAATCTAATTGATGCCGTTATGGTGTTACGAATTGTCATACACCTTATCGGGCCTTTCCTTTCGTTATTGCATTCTCAAACTCAGAGTCCTAAATTTCTGCACAATGAATTGATTTGTTTTCTATTTCGGCAGTTGTACCATCACCCTGTGCAATCTGATTTCCGACTATTGTGATCTAGCTATCTATATTTTTTTATTCATGTGCATGTGCTAATATGAATATATATATATATATATATATATATACACACACTCACACACGCACGTAATTTTTTCAAAGATGTATAAAAACACTTCATAGATAAATATTGATAAAAGGTCATAATTATTTACTATGTACAAATGACCAAAGCAACTACTACCATTGTTATTAATATCTTAAAATTAAGAGAAATAAAATAAAAGAAAAAAGAAAATTGACTCAATTCCATTTTTTATTATTTTTCATGATACAAACTATTGTGAAAACCTCAAAATCCTACCAATTCATTGTTGTGTTGATTGATTGGTTTTTCAAAAAAGTGATTACATAAACCAATTTATCCAAGAATATAACTCTTACAAACTTTTGATAAAATATTGATTTTTAAGCTAAAATTCAAAAAATTGTCTCTTATTAAAATTTCTAAAGACAATAATAGTGAAGGTAAAATCTAATTACAATAAATTATCATGCTTTTTCATATTATTTTTTCTAATCATTAATTTATTGATATTATTTTTAGGAAGATATTTTTATTATGGCATAGCAAACAGAATTTTTTAAATGTTATGATGCAAACTTATTCAAGCTTTTTTTTCAACTTAATATATTATGTTTTTAACATATAATATAATAATAATAAAAGATATAATAAATAATAATACTGTCAAAGGGATGAATCTAAAAAAGCTTTTAAAAATACAATATGTTATGTTAGAAGGAAAATACAAAATCTAAAAGAGGTACATCTAAAAAATCTATAAATCTAATTTCAACTAAGAATTATTATAATATTTTTATTAAAAACTTATATATTTAATATATTTTTGTATACTTTCACTTCTTCCTATTTATTCAATAGTATTTTTAACTATTATATATATATATATATATATATATTCTAAAGAGGACAAGTTGTATAATAAAAAATTAACTTTTTTTTTAAGTTATTAAAGTCTAAGATTTGTTGAATGGTGTTTATTACAAGTTCTAATTTATATTTTATTTAAAAGTTTTTTATAAGTTTATTAAGCATTTAAAAATGTTCTGTATTTAATCATAAAAACCAATTAATAATTAATCTATTTTGGGCCTTTAGAATTATTATAATATAGCATATTTAAAATGCCATCAAATAGTACCAATCTTTAAAAATATTACCAAGAATTGAATGGTTCTTCTAAGATTGTGGCACTATATACATTGTTTTTACTAATAGTTTAAGAAAAGATTTGTCTATCTTAACACTATTTACCTATATTCCAATGTTGTAAAAATTAAGACAATCTAAATATCTTAATTTGTAATTTTGTAATTTTATAATTAAGAAAAATTACAAATTTTGTAATTAAGAAAAATTAAGACAAATTACAAAATTACAAAAATTAAGACATTTAGATTAAGATATTTAGATTAATCTAAATGATCCATTTTGTAATTTTGTAAAAAAAAAAAGTTTTTAAAGATAAAATTACTTGTTGGATTTCTATCTTATTGAATCAAAATCTATAAAATAGTTTAGAATAGATACAGTAAAGTATTGATTCTTATGCTTAATTTTTTATATCTTATACTATCTTGTTGTCAATAGTTGGTCTTAGAATTATTGATAAATATATATATATATATATATATATATATTATTTTACTAATGAATAGATTAAATCCTTTATAATCCAAAATTTTGATTCTAATTGAAATCCTTGATACAATAGTACATTAGGTAGAATTCTATGATGCTAATAGATATTATTAAAAAAAGAACAGTATTTTATTTCTAAGATATTTTTTGTAAAATATCAAATATGTCATTTTGGTAATAAAATCCACAATTAAAAAAATAAAGTTGTAAAAATCCAAGATTAAAAGATTTGTGCTAAAGTTCATAAAAAATATTGATTAAAATTATTTAAAATTATGAAATACTTATATATATATATATATATATATATATATATATATTGTTGATGTAGAATCTTTATTTGAGAAAAATTATCACAAGATTTTGCAAATAATTTGATATCTTTTTATATTTAAGGCTACAAAAAATCTCTTAAAATAAACTAGAATTTTAGTTTTTACAAAATCTCTTACAATTGGAAAGTCATGTCATACTTATAAGGCACATAATTATATTTGATCTTTTAAAGTATATTAAATTTCTAAATATTGGAAATGAAATTATTAAAATTATCATAAATATGTTTTACAGCATAAAAATAAGAAGGTCTATTGATCCTCTTAAAAAATATTCATAAAAAAATAAAGGTTTAATTGAAATTATTGACTTTATAGCTTTAAAATGTAATTTTATTTATTTATTTATTTATTTATTATTTATCAAATATAAAATCTTATACTTTTGATATAAGATATATATTTTTGATTACATCAAATAATATGAATTGTTATTTTTTGAAATAATATATAATATTAATTATAAATTATAATAAAGACACATTTTAATAGTCTTGGAATTGATTTCAGACACTTGCTAGCATGAAATATTAAAGGTCTTTATGACATACATTTTTACTCCAATAATTATCTAAATAATATAAATAGATAGAAATAAGTAGAAGTAAGTAAATTTAATAATATCTTCTAGAGAAGCTATATAGACATGGATTTGTCTTTATACATATTTGTAGGCAATTGATAGGTTGAAAACTTGGCTAACATGTCAATATGTAAAAATAAAAATAAAAAATGAAAAAAATTGGTACCATGCTGGAATGCTAGTCTAGGGCTTTCTAAAATAGTATCAACCATGCAAATTAGAATTGTATCCAAGAAGTTATCTATGGATGAAGTTCTGATGGAAAAACTTCATCTAGAGTTGGAAATTCTTTAATAATTAGCTTCAAATATTAAAATTCAGTATTAATATAGAATTAAAAAAATAAATAACAAGTTAAAAGTTGGAAGTAAAAAGTAAAAGTTATAAATTAAGGTTAAAAGTTAAATTTAAATGAAATAATCTAAAGGTAAAAATTTGAAGATAAAAAGTAAAGTCAAAGTTAAAGTTAAGTAAAAATGGAATAACATAAAGGTCAAAAGTTGAAGATAAAAAGATGAATTTATAGTTAAAAGTTAAGTAAAGATTGAAATAACATAAGGTTCAAAATTGAAGGTCGGAAGGTAATTGGAAGTTAAAAATTAATTAATTATCAAGATGAGGTAAAAGGTTTACTAAATTAGTATTAATTAGAGATGATAAGATGAGTGAAGAGTCAATCTAGCAATCCATGCACTAACAAGTGTAATTAGGAGGTGATAAGGAAAGAAAGATTATCTTCATCATGCCGAATTTTTAGCTCCTACAAGTGTGAATTTTTTTTGTGCTGAACCTTCACTTGGATGAGCTCCTATCTCTCAATTTTTGCAATATTCCAATATGCAATAGTTGAGATATGATTTTTTAAAGTTGGCCTCCCGAACTGATAGGGCAGCAGACCTCCTTGCACTTAAAAATTCACTAAAGATTCATAAAAGCTTCAAAATTTCCAACTTAAATTTTTCTTAGAACTAGAATTTAATTTTCCTTTTTTGCAATAATTTTTACAAAACGATCTTTGACAAGCACAGTGCTACGAAATTCCAAAGCTAATTCTAATGCACTGCCCTTGTACCAACTAGTAGTAGACCCCTTTATACTTAAGAATTCACTAAAAATTTATAAAAGATTCAAACATTCTAATCAAAAAAATTCTAAAAACTAGACTTTAGAATTCAATTAAAATTAAAAACCACTTGGGAAGAAAGATAGAAATCATTGAGAAATAATTTTTTGAAGTTGGCAATTCTCTGAGGCCATGACAATGCACCCTTCTTTACTTGAGATTCTGCCAACAATTCATTAAAGCTCCAAATTATGTGTCTTTAGAAAGCTAGTAACTAGAAGAAGATGGTTAAAAAATATTTCAAGAAAAAAATACAACTAAGATATTGAGAGGTGGAAACCTAAGCAATTACAAAATAGAAGGAGTTTTTTTTAAAAAAAAAAGGAAAAAAATTGGCATAGCTTCGCCATAAAAAAGGAGAGAGAGAGGGCTTGGAAAACCAAGCCACTCTTATACAATTGAGTGGAGGCTTGTAGGAGGGTGGCCACATCTCCACCCTTGATTTCTAAGTTCCCTAATCTAAATCTACAACCTACAGTAATCTTAGGCCTAAATCCGATTTCAATGCTCGAAATGCCATTATCCAAAAAATAATATCTTTTTGGCAAAACTAGCACCACAAATGTGTTCAAAACACATTTTTATGTTAAGATTGACTATTTACAAGCTCAAATCTGAGTTCTAAATCATTAAAACTAATTAATTTGCTAATCTAGTTGTAAATTTCAACTATAATTCTAATTCTAAGTATCCTTATTAGGAGATCATTAAGGATTCTTGCTATCAAAGCCTTCATGATCACCATTCTTCAATTTAAACTCCCTTAAGTAAAAATTCTTGGTAAATCACAACTTCTAATTTCAATTTGGCCTTGAGTTAATACGCTTATGATTATTTTATTTTATTTTATTTTTTCATCCTTTAGCTCGAAGTAGTAATAAAAATCACTATGAGAGAAAACTCCACCATAAAAAATAAATCATCTCTATCTTCTAAAGATCATCATTAATCCATTTAAATTTATAAAATTTATAAAATTTATAAAATTTACAAAATTTATAAAATTTATAAAATTTTATAAATAGATCATACAATTAGATTTTATAAATTTTAATCCATTTAAATTTCAACTATAATTCTTGAAATTAATTAGGAAGATAGAGCAATTAGATTTGAGTTTTCTAATCATAGTCAAATTAGAGATTAGCCTTGGAGTTAAAAATTAAGATTGTGGATTAATT